CCTTAATATCAGCAAAAGAATTCAGATGTTTCAAATTTTCGGGAAAACTGAATTCAGACAAGGATTAACAGCTCTACAACGGTACAACGAATCGTCTTCTTCCTCTAATAATTAAATGAAACGTCCGCGCTTCGCGCCGGAGGGGGAAACTAACTTCAAACAAGAATTAATTAGAGTCGAGAACGGTACAGTATTAAAGTGAATCGTCTTCTTTCTCTAATAATTAAAGGTAACGTCAAAGCTTCCGCGCGGGAGAGGGGAAACTGAATTCAGACAAGGATTATGAGTGCTATATATAGTACACAGGAAAAATAATTTATCCCTCGGCCCGGGTTTAAAGGGTTAAGTTTGTAGAAATTGGGACATATTTTGTCGGTACTCGGTGGCCTCTACACCCCCCCCTTCCCCCACTGAAAAGGGTTTAGCGACGCCCCTGCATGGAATTTCAAAGCCAAGTGGAATGTTATACGCATTACATTGTTAGGGGCGGAAACGAATAAACGCCTTTCGCCTTTGAGCATCCTTTCACACTGTAATGATGACGAGAGTTATCAAAATTGATATCTCTCTTAATCTTTTCGGCCCGAATTCATAAAGGAGGTTTGTCGACAAACCTAGGTTTATGTGCGTCATAATTATGACGCGTTTCGACGCGTTTTTACAAACCTTGCTCTGTAAAAACGCGTCGAAATGCGTCATAAGACGCACATAAACCTAGGTTTGTCGACAAACCTCCGTTGTGAATTCGGGTCTTCGAGTTTTGTCACTTCGTTGCCAATATGGTCTTCTCCTACACTGACTCTCTCTCTCTCTCCCCCTCTCTCTCTCTCTGGCTTTCCTGTAGCAAAAGGAGGCGGCCCCAAAAAAGGAAGCGGGCGGGGACGCTAAAAAAAAAAAGTTGTTTTGAAAATGGCCTAATTACCCCAACCAATCAAAGTTTTCTGTAACATCTTTTATATTACTTTGATAAATAAACAAAGATCAACATCGTATGCCGGTAATAATTTATTTCAACCATGTCATTTAATGCACATATTTTCATCGTATCGATATATATACATGTATATTCAATATCATTATAACAAAAGTACCGTAGATGTAACATAAATGGAAGACATCTTTCTCTTGGCGAGACTGGAATGGTAGACCAATGGCTAGATCTCATCAACATTAACATTAACATTAAAAGGCAAAGATGGAAAATGTTGGATAATCAATCGAAATGTATAGCAATACAATAAGAATAATTTACACTCATTATAGAGCAATACATGAAGGTACATAAAACTTGCCCTTTACAATGCTATTACCCCAGTCACTGGATTTAAACCCATACACTAATGTGCACCATCTCCACTTCCTGGGATTATTCCTAACGAGCATGCAAGCAGTGCACGCAATAGCAAACATAATCATAATGGCAAAGGCAATCCTCTCATTAAGATTCCCATTTGGCCATTTTCTTAGTGTAAATAAGACCTAAATATATATACGGTATACATCTTGCCAAATACGTTTACTCTGTTTTGGGAATGGAACCCAAAACCCCTGGCTCTTAATTAAGTTTATGTTACAATATATATCAATCTTTTAGGATACTCATGATTGTTTGGTTTCTGAAGTACTTTAATATAATTTTACATAAAACTTTAACATTTTCAGTAAAACCAATCCATCACTTTCCTAAAGATGCCTTTGATTATATATTTGACATATTATTTATAAGATATTTAATCTTTTTGAACTGAACTTCATAGTACTTAGCATGTACTGTCATTTTCATTTTATTTGGAGGTACACGTTGAGGCAGTGGGTGGCTTTTCTCATAAACATAATTTTCTGTGGCAATGATAATCAGCAAGTATTTTACCTTAAAGTTGGAGTGCTAAAGTAAAATGCTCACACGTGATCTGAATATGAGTTAAGACATACCTAAAATACTGACTAAATCAATATACTGAATTGAATGCAACTCTTAATTAAGGTCATATACAATGTACACATTTATATAAATATTTTAAGATTTAAGAGTGCTAAATGCAGATTAATGCCTTGCCAAAGGACAGCACTGTTTTCTCCGGGATTGAACCCACAACCTTCACATCTCGGGCCGTGTGTTCAAAGGACTTGACTTTTACAACTAGGAAACATGTTCATCTGTCTATATGAATGCCAATCACAAAACAACAACAACCCTGTTTTTCCTCCCTAAGCCCTGGGGGTCTTTTGAATTATTGCTGGGCTCTATCAAACAGTTTTTTGTTTCTATTTTCGGTGTCCATTTTATACCTGCTTCTCACAAGTCAATTTGAGAATAACCTTGATATGTTTATGTCTGGACCCGACTAACCGATCACTCATTGCATCGTAGATGCCTTAAACTCTCTGCATAGAGAAGCAAATCGAGCAGGATCTTTTTCAAAGGCCCTTCTGCCAGATTTTTTTCAAAGCCTTTTATCTTGCCCATCATTCGCTCACTAAAAAGAAATTGGTAAGCATCAAAGTAAGTCTTTATATTTGTGCATCTCTTTGCTTATTTTGTTTTATATTGGCCATTTTTTCTCAACATGATTGTAAATCAAATTTTATATCACATTTTATTTTACTCTGTATCTCTATGTACAATGTATACATTCCATGTAATTCAAAGCTTGGGCTGCGATATGGTTTCTTAACCCTTACTGTACTGGGCTATTTGAGAACTCTCTGACTGGGGGGGGGGGGGGCCTCCCAGGACCCCCCCCCCCATGATCTCGGCCGTCGAATGTCCAATGAACGCGAAAATTTGTGTGTTTGTAGATATTTACGTAAGGAACAAGATAGTATAATTAGTTTTTTCCTAATATGCAAATTTCTGTCGTTATAGCCTAATTAAATATGCAAAATGCTAATTTTATGCATTTTACAGAAAACTCTACATATTTGTCTGTAGACATGTGAAGAATGTTGAAAATGTATTGAATAAATGTTTCCTTCATCTCAAATTCATGAGGTTACATTATCTTTATGATATTTGAGAATGCATAGGTTAATTTGCATAAATTATGAATATGCAAATTACGCATTTATGAATATCAATCTGGAAATATACAGGGAACTAGATTCATTACAAAAATTGTCAGACTCCACTTTTTGAATGTTAATTGAAATTCATTATTCATATGAAACTTCTTTTCTAACACAAAATAGTTATTTTGATGTAATTAATAATGATAATTTATGCAAATTTTATGCAATTTTCAAAAATTTATTTTCTTTTGTATTTTATTGTTTTTTATTTCTTATTATATCTATTGTTTTATTTCTAATGTATTCTTTTGTTCTGGAATACATCAAGTTACTTTGAGAAACATATAAAAGCAATTTGATATCAATTCATAGGAAGAAATACATCTAAATCTGTATTCACATTTCTGCTTGTACATTTTACAGCACATTTTTGATGACATGCGCATACTAATTGTTATGTAACACCTTACAGGTATATCCGATTTCGACGAAAATGGTATCGAAATGTGCGTAAGACTCGAGGGAAAAAAGTCATGAAACGACAATTCAAAATTCCAGCGGTTGCGGCGCAATCTCCGAAAATGTCGAGGGGGGGGGGGGCCTCCCAGGCCCCCCCCCCCAGTACAGTAAGGGTTAATACCTTTTCAAAAAATTCAATATGAAAGGAAAAAAATTCATACATGAACAGCACAGATTATTCTTACACATTTGACAATCACAGATCAAAACGTTTGCCACTAGAATATATTCAGACTTTCATTGAATTTACATATATATTATATTTCATTATATATATTTCAAACAAATATTCCTTCAAATATTATTTCCTTCCGAAATCACTAACACACTGGAATTATTTACCACCATCCATAGTTAACATTACAAATCCTGAAATATTCAAGGCTCAAGTGCAAAAGCATTTTCAATAGTGTTATTTTATCATTTTATATGCGCATACCAAGTCCGACTCGTTTTCCTACACTAGGTGTGTTAAATTGAGCAATTCAGATCCAGAGTGTTATGGAATGTTTTTTTACTTGCAGATGTCTCTTGAAACATTATTCCTGAGGAAACATCAGCATGAAGATCAACCTGAAATCTGTACACATTTGAAACTCTTAACTATTTTAAGACAATTATTCTACATTTAAATGGTTTGGCTCAATAACTTTTGGTTCAGGGCCCTAAAAAATATACCAGATACACAAACAGAAAGGGCAAAAAGTTCTATCCTCACTGCATCCATTTTAGTTTCATGATCATATTGCATTTGGTGTTAGGAATTTTAGAAAGGAAAATAAGTTTTAAAATCCTTACATTGGTAACACCTTGAGAGATCAAAAATAATTGTTTCTGATAAAAACTGGCTTTCTGAAACATTTCCAGCAATATTCTCGCCCATGTATATTGTATTAAGAGACATTATATCTTATTCTATCATTGTAGCGATAAAACAAAAATATTATTTTTGCCAATTTGAAGAACATTATGTGATCAATTTAGCCCTAAAAATAAATCCTTTCCCGAGACGATTAATCAAAACAATATTTTCTCAAGCACCCATGATCTGTCTCAAATACAACCTGCGCATTCCTGCACTTGACCTGGACAAATCTTTGGCTGAATGATGTATTTTGTAATATACACCTTCCAGTATCTAGACATTATTCAGACTGTATAGGCATATGAATATAAACATAATAGTAATACTACTAATAATAGTGTCGCGTGGTCACGTTACCCAATCTTTTGTGAAAACATTCCTCTTTATTTATGAAATATCTGGGGTGATGTTTATGAAATAAACCCTTTCATCTACAAATGCGTATCCAGACGCCTACCCCCTGGACATCCACCCGCCAGACAACTACCCCCTCGGACAACTAGGGGGGGGGTAGTTGTCTCTGGGGTGATTGTCCGGGGGGGGGGGGTAGTTGTCCCGGGGTGATTGTCCGGGGGGGGGGGGGTGTAGATGTCCTAGGGGGTAGTTGTCTTAAGGGGTAGATGTCTGGGGGTTGTTTTCCGGGGGGAATTGTCCGAGGGGGGGGGGGGTAGATGTCCTAGGGGGTAGTTGTCCTAGGGGGTAGTTGTCTGGGGGTTGTTGTCCAGGGGGTAGTTGCATGTCCCAGGAGTATTCGTCCTAGAGGGTGGTTAACCTAGGGGATAGTTGTCCTAGAGGGTAGTTGACTGGGGGTGGATGTCCAGGGGGTAGGTGTCCTAGAACCCTACAAATGGCCTTGTCCAGTTTACCAGACGCTTTGTAAAAACCCTACAGCAAATCTACAAAAATTGCATATTCTTCTGCTTTCGTTATATTAAAGGTCGTGTAATGCGACCACACGGCCAGACGCAATAACCCTGTGATTCGAAGTAAGCCCAAGAGGCCTATCCCTGCCATATTTAATTCTTATCAATGCGGCTTCTCGGAAAAACCAGTTTCAAGTTCAAGGAGTTTTCAAGCTGTCCTGTTTTACAATGTCCAATGAATGTGGAATTTAGCTGATTCCTGCGGCTTCTTTGACATCCCCTGCAAGATCTCTCCTATCACAGCTGCTCAAGGCCTTGCAAAGCTCCTCCACCATCTTCCTCTTATCCGTACATGAGGATCGTTTCTTCCATAGTTGCAGCAAAGAAAGGATGCGATCCACTGCTGTTAGTTTGTCCTCTGTGATGTGCTCAATATCTGCTTGGTTCAATCCCAGTCTGATTCCAAGCCGATGCCATTCTGATCCTATCTGCTCTGCAAGATTACTAAAGTAAAGATCGCACAGTACGTTGCTTTCCTTGAAAGCTGTAAGATAAGGATAATACACTAGTGGTGAACTGTGAACTTTGTAATAAATCTGCTCAGATTCTATCTGCTGTGCAAGACCACTAAAGTAACGGTAGCACAATACTTTGCTTTCATTGCAAGCTGTAAGATAAGGATAATAAACTAGTACATGTAGTAAACGTTAAAGTTTATAATAATCTGCTCAGATCCTATCTGTTCTGCAAGATCACTGTAGTGACAGTCACAAAGTGCCTTTCTTGTATTGCACGATGTAAGATATGGATACTGAATTAGTGGTAATCTGTGCAACTAATACTAATAACAACTAACACGACATCATTCTGTCTGTAGAGGATTATACATTCATTGACAGTGTGTATCTAATACCACTCCTGACACCAAATAGAATAACTGATCTCTTGATTGACACAAGACATGATATTTTATACTAACTTAGATAGAATGGTAAGATACTTGTAAGCTTATTGAAAAGACACTCCAGACTCAAACTAAGAAAACTAAATCCTACTCCTTACAAGATTCTAGACGAAAATGATGAGATTAAAGGGAGTGTGTTATGAGGAGACTGTGTCTTTCCCATAGCCCTACCCAGGGCCAATCGAGCAACATAGGTCAACCCGCAGCATGCACGTGCGTGCGAAACCGAAGCGTGAGGAGCACTTCGGTCTGTTTCGCGAACGCTAGCGCACGCTCACCCCGTTAAGCGCTCGCTGACCCAGTTAATCAAGTCCATTCGCTTATGTGCAGTTGTCCAAAAGAAGACGTAGATGGTGTTAACCAGTATTTCCCACGACACACTCCCTTTAAGTTATTGCATACTTACTTGATCTTCTACAAATCATTGGACTCTCGTTCCCTGACTCCACTCCTTCCTCACTCATACCTGCATGAAAATACATGAAGAAATAAATTCAAATTGAAAAGAGTTGAGGTCTGGAGGCGTGCTGTGGTAGAGTAGTGGACTCGTAATTGGGAGTACCCGGGTTCGAAACCAAATATGTGTAAGTGCCCTTCTTGGTAAGGCATTAATCCTTGTTACCAAGTCCCTCAAAGAGGACTTAAAGCCCAGGTTGCTTACTTACAAGCGCACACAAGATAAAACTAACCAACCAAGGTCTAGTGGGTAACTAAGAGGTTTGTGGATCACAAGGTATTGGGTTCAAATCCCTGCCACAGCAATACTATCCACTGGCAAGGTATAAATCTACATTGTGGGGGTTTGTGAGTTTGGAGTTTCTTTTTCACCAATCTAAAGATGTTTGAAAATGTCAAGAACATTATTGTTTATCAATGAACGTTTAAGGTACAATTAGTGTGTACCTAATCCTACTCCTGACAACAAGTAAAACAAAAGTAAGCCCTCTTTTGATTGACACAAGACATAATATTCTATATTATAAGATGATGACATGGATCCTAATCAAATGATTGGTTAAAAGCGTACACATGTTCTGCCATTTATTTTGGCTAACAATGACCAGTCATTATCCAATTCTAATGACCGGTCATTAGTAAAATCATATTTTAAAAAATCATTTTATATTACAAATAAAACATAATCTTATAAAACAAATAATACACGTAATTTTTTTCGGGCATTAGTAAAATTACCCACACTCGGTACCTTCCAAACACCCTTGGCTATCGCCTCGGGCGTGTTCGACTGTTCCAAAGGTACCTTGGTTGGGTAATTTTTTTCTAATGCCCTCACTGCTGTGTATTATTTGTATATTATCTCATATAGAAAGGTAAGACATTTGTGAGCTTATTGAACAGACACTCCAGATTGAAACTAACAAATTTGTATAGACCTACCAAACTTTGACTTGACTGCAGCCGTACGAATCCTATGCAGTCCACACTGGAGTGACTTTCGCTTGAAGCAGTCTTGGAACAGTTTCTTCTTACTGCACTTCGGGCACAGAAAGCAGACATCGTATTGGATCCTTTTAGCCCAGTGCTGCCTAAGGCTATCAAGGGTGCTCGTTACAAAATCCATAACCTGACATAAACACACAAACAACATCAAAATGGATATTTTATTTCAATTTTATTTATTTATTTTATTTTTTTTTTTTTTTGGGGGGGAAGGCTACAAGCTACTAAACTTAAAGTTGCACAAGCTTGGGTATATAGAGGGCAGCATACTGAGCCAACGATTATTACGCTCCTGTGCGTACTAGTGTCCCTAATAAGCGTACGTCCATACAGAGCGTAAAACCTGTTAGCTCAATGTTCGACAAGTTGCCTACTTCACGAACGACTATATACCGACGCATGAACATCTTTGATTAATTTAGATTTGAAATTCACATCTCAAAATGAGAATGTCATTAGGATAGTGCACTGGCTTATTGTCTCTAAACCCATTGACTCCTGGAATATCACATTCCCATATGCTAAATACAGGTACCACCCTGTTTCAGTAGGCAACGGGGTAATAGCATAACAAAGTCTGAGACGCATGGACATGCATTAATTGCATTTGCCAATTTGGGTGGAGAAATGAAATGGTCTATCTTCCTGATCCATAAACAGTACATTTATTTTGCTTTTTTTCTCCAATATATATATAGACCTAAATTGATAATGAACTATTAATGTTCTCCTGGAAGTTCATTAACAATTGTGCATTAACAAGTTAACACAGAAAGGTTTAAGAAAGGTGTACCATTTTGATGAAGCACAAAAGTTCATATTTTTCGTAGCTAAATTGTGTTGCAACATAAACTGGATGTTGAATATGGCTTAACTTAACCAGACTTTCAGAAATAGAACTGCAGTTAGACCTGCCATTAACTGTAGTTGATTTCTAAGTCAAGTTTTAGTGTCCTTTGGTCTAACTTTATTATCATCTACTCGAACTGGACTCAAAGTCCCACCACACTTAAGAACAGGAGACCGTTAGTGTGAAATCAACTACAGTTAACTCTGCATATAAAGACAAGTACACATCAAATTTTCTTAAAGTTAAATTTTTGTAACCAACCTATGCAAATCATGTGTTATTCACACTTCCTAAGTCAAACTCTTTGTGTGCGGTCCCAACTGATTCTCCTTATGCATAGTTAACTGTACTTCTTTCTATTAGACATATGTTCTTTGACACATCAAAATATGTTTACCTGTGACAGTTTACCTGCGACATATTTGTACTAATTGAAACCATCCTGTTGAGGTACCTACCTCTTTGACAGCACTTTGGGCTGGAGGTTGATGACTATCACCATCATCATCAGAATCAGCAACCGCTCCTTGGAATACAGTGACCTGACATGTTAAGCAACAAAAGGTCGAGGGAAAAAGATTGAGAAATCTATTATATGATGGTGTGTAAATGTGTACAATTTCCTTAAATTTAAGAGGTTTATTACAGAGTACGCTCTTAAGTAAACAAACACTGATTTACAAAAAAAGAACATATTACATTTATAATTAAAATACAATGTAAAACAAAACAATCATAGAAATATAAGAATGTATGTGTATTTAAAACTAATATAAAACAAACACAAAGGGTGAGTTTTTATGAGGTTCCGTTTTTCCAGGTTCGACCATTAAGAACCAGACCTTGATACTGAATAGTAGGTAAAGTATCAGGGTTACACAATGTAATTCTTTCAAAAGAATAAGAGCCCTGAAGAGCTATTGGTTCTCTTCGTATCAACAGGACGATCTAATCGTCTTCGAGAGAATGACTATAACATTGCCTGGTGGAGGCTACTTATTGCCTATGAACAGATTCGATGTGCAGCCTCAATAACTTTAACTACAATTCAGTATCTCCGCCATGAAAAAAAAGGCATCGCTAACACTTGACTCAGACCTTGATAGTTGCTTCATGACAAGGTAACATCTCCAGTAAGGCATGATGCTCTTCATCAACCATTAGACTGATCTGACGATAGAAGAGAATGACTGGTTCTCCATCTCTTTCACCCATCCATCTGACTGCTCTCGTCATCAACCGATGAAACAGCCCATCTGTGAAAATGACAAACAAGAGAGATGAGCAACAGGTTATGTCTAGTGATATTTTTTAAGCCAGCTCAAAAAGATATATTAACTGCAATAATTCTTCAAGACAGTTGAATATTTATGAGAAACAACACATGAGCTTCTAACAAGATGGACTAAACTCCGACAATCAACAAAGTGATGACTATGTCTAGTGGTTTGTATACCTGACCGCCCTGATGCGTCCTTCGGCAAGACTTAATCTACATTTGCCACTCTCCGCCCAGGTGTTTAAATGGATATCAGTAGGAAGAATTTCCTTGAACACTGTTGGCAACCCAACGATCAGTAGCCCAGCAGAGCCGGGGTTATATTGAGGCACCTTGCACGGTGGATATGTTTGCTATGAATTTATCCAATTTATCCAACATTAATATCATATCATGAAAGCAAATAAAAAGAATATTAATGACTAATCAAATATTAAAAGAAAATCATAAATACTCTGTAGCTTTATACCATCTTTCTTCACAAGGTTGAAGACAATCCTAGAATTTTCAAATCAATACATGTGTTGGACATATAACTTCTTGTTTACTTTGGATGCATGGGTCAGCCATGGCAAGTACCTATTAAGGTCAGTCAAACTTGTCTATTGAGGCCACTCAAGGAAATAGAGTGAGTGGCCACTGAAGACAGGTGGTCTTTCTAGACAACCATTGCATGGCTCTTCTAGACAGGTGGCTTTTATAGAAAAGTGGTCACTAAGATGGGTTTGACTATATACAAACCTTGTTGCAATTTAAATACCATATAGTCTCTTTGGAGCAAGAAGGGCATTATTCTCTATGGTGCATTACACAACTTAAACCATTGCCTGCAGGAACAGCCTATCCTGTATTAAACCTATGAGAATGTAGTCAACGGGTAAACACCCTTCTGGCTCTAGACAGATGATGAATTCATCCTCACCTGGTAAGAAGCCCCTGAAGTCCACATAAAAGTCTGTAGAAGATTTGATCTGTCCAATCTCTTCTAGAGAGCAATGTGATGTTAGCCTGGAAGGCACATAGTAGCGCTTCTTTACAACCTCTGTCTCATTTGATACCTAAAATATCCAAAAAATATATCAAGATACAACAATTTTTTTTCCTGAGAAATCAAAGCAAAAAACAAGGCAATTCATATTTCACTTATCGTATTATTTCAAACATCCCACTCCTGCCACTAAATTGTTGCAAGTTTCAAGACAACGTCAACCTATCAAAAATAATATCCCTAGTGACATTCGTTTGTCTCGCAATGTATGGTCAACAAGGGATCTCAAAGATCACGACGTTTTGTGTGCCGCTGCTACACTTCGTCAGGTGATAAAATATATTGTAAGCAAGCGTCTTTTATACTCTACGGATGGACCGGGTGGACTGGCGGTCAAAGAATTAAAACAATAAAGGACAAAGCCTATTGGTCGAAGCACACGAGTGCTTATTGTTCTAATTATTTGACCGCCAGTCCACCCGGTCCATCCGTAGAGTATAAAAGACGCTTGCTTACAATATATTTTATCACCTGACGAAGTGTAGCAGCGGCGCACGAAACGTCGTGATCTTTTAGATCCCTTGTTAACCATACATTGCAAGACAAACTAATGTCACTAGTGATATTATTTTCTATACTATATCCGCAATGAGTAATACATATCGTCCTTGTTTTCACGAAGTGACGGTAGTGAGGGAAATCGTAACGCAAAGTGAATGCAATTTTTTTTCACTACCGTCACTTCGTGAAAACAGCGACGATATTTAGCATTAACATCAACCTATTGAGCAATTTTGATTCCAAATTTCAGAAATAGACATTTTTTAACCACTTGTAAAGGCTTTCAAAACTCTACTTAATTTCTACATTTCACAGCACAAAACAATTTTGTTTTAAAGGAACATGTTTGCAAAGATTTAAAAAAAATGATGGTATCCAAAATTAAGCACATTTAAAATTTGGATATATATTATGAGTCAGTATTTGCAATATATACATACCGGTATATATAATACCTGGTACATGTCCCTTGTTTTACTCCTTTATTATCTGTTTATTTCTAGTCACACTTATTTTGAGGTAACCATGAAACACTGAGGTTAATGTAAAACAAGATGTTTAACTCCTGTGATAATTGCTTCAAGGTAATTTCCTACCCTAACCGAATTCCTAACTTCAGCACTCGACTAAACAATATACCCTTACCCTAAACTGAAAACCCAATGACAATCATAACCCTAACCCTATACTTTTGATGAAATAAAACCTAGGGCATTGCTGCGGGAGCATGGGTCAGCTAGAGCACTGTTTAGCACGAGCTTTACCTCAGCGTCTAGTCCATCCTGTTGCTCTTGCTGGAGTTGTTCTACCGGAGCCTCACAGATGAGATCAAACTTGGCCATGAGCTTGACTAAGGCCTCCTTCTGCTCCAAGAAACCTTGCCACATATGCTGAATCAACCTATCCTCTAAGATACCATCCTCCTCAAGAGTAGTCCAGGCATCGCTCACAATCCCATCCTGGAATTAAAAACACACAAAAGTGGGCTCTCATTAGGGAATTTAACACTGTTCAGGTGTTGCCAATCAACAGGATCAGCCTTCATGTTTTATCAGGAACAAGCTTTATGTATGCCCTCTCTTTTCCCAATATGGTAAAGTCCATATCTGACATTTGCATATCCCAAAGGCTCTCAGAGAGACCCAGAATGGTAATGACCTGCTTGAAGACATCAATCAGTCACATCTACTATGATGTCTTGTAGGAGAGACTGCATAGGACCTATGTTGTATGCAACAACTTTACGTGCTACAGCTTATCGCAGCATATTTGAATGAGGTTGTAATAGAGGAGGAGGATTCTCACCCTCTCTGCGGGATCCAGAATGGTAATGACCTGCTTGAAGACATCAATTAGCCACTGAGGATTCAGGATCACCATGTCTCGTAGGAGAGACTGCTGGTCTTCAATGCCTCCATAGTAGACTACGTAACCCAGGTCGTGGTAGAAGGTCAGCATCGTGAGTAGTTCACGCTCAGATTCCATCCCAACTGGCTGCGTCAGTTCCTTCATCTGGGAGAATACAAATCAAAAGGCTTCAAAATCATCATATGATATGATTAAATTACACAGGGCATATACAGTATATAGACAATGATAAAACAATACTTTTACAAAAGGCAACATGTAGCCTGAATGTTGTGCCAAGATTTTCAAAGGCAATACATCCTATAAATTATCCCCCCAAAAATATTACAATGAAATAAAACCAATCTAGATTTTAAAACTTGAAGTTCAATATGAACTACATTTATAGACAATTTGTCACAAAATTTCATAAACACAAATTATTTGAAAATGGCCAAGAATATATGATACAGTCCTACCTGATCTAATGACATGTAATTGATTTTATCTGCAGCTAGAGCTTCCTCAAATAACAGCCATCTGAGTGGAATCTCTTCTCCTATGTAAGGCTCTTCCATCGCTACTTTCTCAATATGTCTCCTCAACTCGACCAGCTACAAAGGAAAGTTAGTATTGGTTGGGTTATTAATTAAAAACTCAACAACGTGACTTGCAGCTCTAGGGTGATATTGTCATCATATTAAAAACATAAAAATACAAAACCAATATCACAAAATAACAAAGGTAACATCAAACAGCAATAAAAAATAAACAAATTAACAAAACATGTGGAGCAATTTGTGTAGCTCTTTGTAACTGCAAGGAAAGGCCACTTTACCGTTTGGAATGGCCGGATTTAACTGGATGGGATAGATAATAATAATAGATAATAATCGACTACAGGGTTAATGGTACAAACTATCATCGCCGAGGTGATCTTGGGGATACTATCATCCCGAGCCGCAATAGTTTGTATCCATTGCCCGAGTAAAGGAGGTTAATATTTGTTTTATATCCCACATCGGCAATAAGGTCTATTTAAATGGAATTTTACATAATTAAAACAACTAATTTTGCAGACAGTCTAGCTTCATGTAATGAAGTCGATGTGCGCTCATTTGACATTGACATTGACATTGACAATTTTGCGTTACCTACTTTGCTATGCTTATTCAATGGGCAAGTGGGACAGCAGCAAAAAAATACTGTACAAAAGTCCTATCGCAGGGAGATAGTACTTATCTATCATTGATCATGTGACCTCGTTTAGACCAATCAGATTGCAAGATTCTTAGTATGCGGTATATAATTAGTATTATATTCCACATACTAAGAATCTTGCTACGATTGGTCAAAAGTAAATCATGTGATGAAAGATAGTTCGTTGATCATTGGTTGGAGAAGAAAAGTTTGTTACACTGTGTAGATAGTACTACTATCTTCAGTGAAAGTGCATTGCACTCGGTAGATAGTAGTAATATCTACACAGTGCAACGCACTTTAATTGTATACGTTGCGTATTGGTCTCCTCTTTAAGAGCATTCAGGGTTAGTGCACGAACTTTGGACATGGGCGAACTATGGTCACACCACCATACTGCATGCACTGTACATATCGTACACCGTTTGCTAGCTGTTAATTGATGATTGTTGCCAATGTGGAATATACAGCAAATAATCAAATTGGTTTCAGGCTATGGCAAACTATCACTTCCTTGGTGATCTGAATGTATACGCTATCTTTCCTCAGCTCCGTTTCAAAAAGATAGCTACATCCCGAACGCCTCGGAAGTGATAGTTTGTCCCATCACCTTCACCAACAGTAATTATTTGCTTAATACTCTTATGCCACAGCGTTACTATAAATTGTGATAGTTGATGATTATGTACCTCTTCATCTTTGTCCTCTAAGCTGTTTTCAATGGCATAATACTTGGGGACTACATGGCATTCAAACGGCTTCTTCTTGATAGATTTCCGGATCTTCCCAAAGGCAGAGTCAATCTAGAAGACAGAAAGAGCGAAATGAACAGAAAATACACAAATTAGTCATAATTTTAAACATGCATGCATACCACACTTTAGTTGAGATCATGATATGGAAACAAAAAGAATGCTGATATGAGATAGCATAATGCAATTAAATTCTACCATGATATCTCACTGTTTTTAATACAAGGGAAGAAAAGAGAGGAACATATCAGTGAAGCATTGAACAAAATCTGTATAGAAATAAGAAATTTATTATGTTGAAGTTGTAATTAGTAAAGCACAAATTGGCAACTCTATGATTTAATTATCTCCCGTTTGCTTGGTAGTAAAATTCATGGATTTTAGTTTTCTAGCTTATGATGAAAGAATGGGCTGTGTAAAAACATGTTTGTACTAATTACATCTAGGGTGCACAATGGCCGAAAATTGTATTCAGATATTTTAAATATTTGTTTAAATCTACTACTTTTTAATCATATATTACTCAACATTTCATTGATTTGTTTCTTTACTTTTCTGTCCTACAACCAATATAATATCAAGGTAAACTTTTCCTTTGAAATTTCCATTCACAAGAAAGTAAAAATCTAAATGTAGCAAAGTTATATATAGTCTACATCCAAAAGGCGCACATCTCAGCATTTGGGGTATTGGCGATATCAAGAATTACAGACTTTCAGGAAGAACAGCAAATGCTGAAGGACCTTCCTGGGGTTAACAAAATTATTATTTCACTATCAACACTATACAAAGTCATGTATATCATAAACCATTACCTTTTTCTTTTTCTCTTTGGCATCTCCTTTCACACTTTCTCGATGAGTTCCAACAATGAATATTGGCGGAGATTTCTGGGCTGTTTTAGACGTATTCTTACTCCTGACCGAAGAGGGTGCCACAGCATGGGCGAAGATGGAACACAACCAGAAATTGATGAACTCTAGACATGTCAGTTCTGATTTGGCACCTCCTTTAGCCTGTGTTTTAATTGTAAAAAAAGTATGTATGATAAGGCGATGCTAAAAACACACAGAAACACTATGCTTTGTAATCATTCTAACAGGGTAACACATACATATCCCACTCCTCACATCCAACATAATTTTCAATTTTGTTGTTGTTGAATGATTTATTGATTTATTTATCTTCATTGTCTTTCAAAATAACAAACCGATTACAGTATGATAATCAACTAATATAATTAATACATTATCACAATTATTTACTTACATTGTAATATTACCACCCTAAATCATGAAGAAGGATTGCAACATGAACTAAGCTTGAAGCTTGGTAATCCTTTATAAAACTTCATAATCACTGTATACAAAAAAGGAATATTGTGGAAAAATACTTTCTGCTACACTAACAGAAATAGAAATTATTAAAGGATAGGAGTGAAATGGGATGTATGAGAAGATGACAGGGGGGATGGTAAATTAATCATCAAGAAAAATAGCAGTACTCCTTGATTTTTAATTAGTAAACTATTACCAGCTATTATGATTGGTAATTTTTTCTCAAAATTTGATCACTTAATGACATGCCCAAGTGTGGAAGCCATTGGCACAGATGACCTTGTAGGCCTCCATGTATTTTCGAGCAGAGATGCACTTTCAAAGAGATAGAAATTTCATCTATTTAATCTCACACCATGCTCTTAAAAGAAGAAGAAAGAAAGGCTAATATATCACTGATTTAATTGAACCAACAATTTACACATATATTAATCCTGAAGGAAACAGGTAGTTTGATCTATATTTAAAAATAGTCAAAAAGAACAAGAGCTATCATAATATCTATACTTTAAAATTACATTATACACAAATAATGAACAATGATAATATGTAAAACTTTACAAATTAAAATTTGGCGAGTAACTAATTTTTGGCAAAGAAAACACACCACTATTTAACATTTATCTATCCCCTGTAAGGCATTATTTATTTTTTACAAAGTAGTATAGAATGATATTAAGACATACCATTTCGTAATACTCGTCTCTGGATTCAGGGGGAACAACAGAATCCAAACTTCTACTAAGATCAAAGACAATCACATAAATGGCTCGCCATGTTAGAAACACCTGCAGGAAAAGGGAATAATAAACATGATACATAAGTATTTACTAACTACCATGCTATGTTGTTTCTATATGCTCTATTATTTTTATAATAATATGGGACCTCAGGCACTGTTTATATACGGTTATCAACTTAATCATTCATACCGCTTGTAAATTTGATGTTTTGGCATGTTTTGGTAACCCATGAATAAGTGGACTGGTTGAATTTGAGCCTTTTTTGAATATATTTAGATTTAGATGTCACATTCTCAAGAAACATAGATCTGAAGAAATTTTTTTTTTTTCACATACTAAACAAATTAGAAAAGTTGATAAGGGTATGAATAATTTAGTTTTTAACTGTATAGAGAGTATAATACAGCAGTATAAGGGCAAAATGTCTCTCAATTTAAATATCTGTATTCAAACCGAAGACAAAGTATTAATTTCCAAAAATGTATGAAGTTCTTTGGATATAACTGACTGATGAAGACCCTTTGGGTCCACATTCATAGCCATTATAATTTGTGAGTATTTATGCTACAATACATAATGATAAACTGACCACTTGCATACATATTATCAATTCCTAGATAACACCATGAGAATGACATGTCAAAAGAAACTTCTGTTAAAAAACCAAAAAAATATTACAAAATTAAGACATATTTCCAGAGAAGTTGCAGTGTACAGCACTTTATTAGATAGCAAGAAGTCACCAATTCTAAACTAATGTTTACCACACGTTAATACACATGTATAAAACTGATGGTAATACCAAATTGTAGGCCAACAGCTGTGCATAAAGTACCCTGAACTGAAGCATTATATTGAGACAGTGGGGGAATAGTCTCAGTTTTGAGTTTCTTTGAGAATGAGAAATCTTTACTGAAACTGATCAGAAAAAAATCACAGGGTAAATATTAAATGTTTAAGACATGAATGCCATGACGGACGTATGGGAGACTGTAGTACATAATATTTATTCAATTTATCAAATACCAGAATCTAACAATACCATGGCAACGAGGTAGAATTTGCAAGCAATCTACATTTCTTTAAATGAAAATAAGTCTCTTTTACCTGATGGGTTGTGTAGTAGATGTCGTGTCCAGCAAAGTCCCATATACTAAGTGAGACTCCTTCTCTACCATTATCAGTTCTGGCTGTTCCTATCTCCTGAGGATTGAAGAAAATTAATACACATCTACATGAGCAATTATCAAAAACAAACTTGTAAATGCGCAAAAAAAATAATGGGAACATCAGTACTGATCCTGAAGATAATCACAAAACATTTTTGTCCGTACTTGTATCATGAAGAAATGTTCTATTACACATACTGTAGCATTATTTTTAAGCAGAGTACGAGCAAAAACATCTGGTAAGAATATATATGTTCACCCCAGTGCAGCAAACAAAAATGTATGAAGTCCAACATGCCTCTGAACTCTGAAGAAGCTGCAAGTCTACAGAAAAAAGTTCTTTGTTCCCTTACAATCTTCTTATCTCCATGAAAACCTGCTCCATAAAAGGTAACTTTTATATTTTTCAATTGATATATCTTTCTCACTCTAAAGTGCCTCAGGTTCTAACATAGATTTTTCATCCAATTCCCGACATGGTGACACAAAACAAGATTGAGATCAGCTGGGGGATGTTTCACAAAGATCCTAAGTTGAACTTAACTCTAAAGTTGGACTTGAAAATATGAAAATATTTTGTAAAAGTTAATTTAAAAGGCATATAATGTTGATTCAAATCATTCACATTTTCTATTATCAAGGAGATTTAAAGAATACATAATTTGGGTTTTCTGTTGTACACAAAATGAACAGTACCTTTAAGCGAACTTGTTCCTTAAGCATCTTCTCCACCAGGCTTGCTATTTGATTTGGCATATTGTCATCCTCTTCTTTAGCCTTGGGAGCCTCCACAGTGTCCAAGACAAAATCTTCTGCAATAAAGAAGAAACATATCTATATTTCAAGGATATATGCATTCTACATTTGGCACTCTCCACCCAGGTGTAAAATGGGTACCAAGGAGGATGCAATTGTTAATTTGGCTGGATTGGCATGTGTACGCTTGTAAAGTGGCGTAAGGCCAAAAATAGTCCACAGGGAATAGAGCATGTGCACTTTCATGGTATCAGCTATTGGCCTACAAATGTGACTCTTATTACCATTATTTCATGTAACTGACATTCAATAAGTCAGAATTGAATACAGTTTAAATTGTGCACTGAGTTATGACAAACATGTAAAAGGGCGTTTTAAGGAGTAATTACTAAATTGTCATCAACTTCCATTTATACTTTATGTATTACGGCCGACGAATCAAGATTTGATCTGTGTTAAGAAGACAAACACACAAAAAAACTAAAGATTTATTTCAAAGAAGACACAAACCTGCTTCTTCCGGATTTAGGCCTCTGCCATCAGTAGTATCGCTGAGTGGTTCTGAACTTTCTTGATTCTGTAGACAAAATTAATCGGTATCAAGATTGTCATCGTGCAGCTTGCACTAACCGCATCACTATTAGCAACTAGAAATACTTTTTTTAAGTGGTTGATGAGATGATCCCAATCTTTTTTTGTTTACACCGTCATTCTAGACTGGTTTAGAGCAATTTATTGCATCACTGCATGACTAAGTACTTGACATACTAGATGCAAACAAGCATATACTACATGCAGGATGTGCTGGAGTCACTTGAAACGTGAATGAATACTTGAATGGCTTGATAACCGGGCATGGTGGCTCAGTGGTTAGAGCGCCCGCCTCATGAACGGGAGGTCGTGGGTTCGAACCCTGGCCGAGTCATACTAAAGACTTATAACAATGGGACCTTCTGCCTTCTAGCTAGGCGCTCAGTATATTAGATTGGAGAAGGGTTAGTATGGTTATGCAGGCCCGCTGGAAGAGCAGTTTCATAACTGAAGTGGCTACCCTGGATAAATAAAACGTTATTATTATATTATTATTATCATTGGATTATTATATTATTATTATTATGATGGCTAATACATGTACCAAGATAAATGTAAACCCTGGATGTTACCTTGCGTTGCACTGATGAAATTGAAGCTCAAAACAACATGATAATAAGAATGCACTTCTAAAAAAATTTACATACTTTGTGGATGTTAGACTTGTGCATCAAAATTAAATATCATGAATCAAAGTAAACAGTGACTTTGGTATACTGCCGTTCGTTGTAGTGTCAGTGCAGATGTATTTATCATTCTTCACTTACTACACAGGTATATTGTTATCAGATTCATTGACAACGTTTGAGACATCATTGATTTGTTTGGACAGTCATCATAAACCTTTTTTCTTCTTCTTCAGACAGAATTTCACTTCTCCATCATAATCATAACTCACTACTACATTTACTTTTATAGAGATTTTTATTTGGAATAACAAAGTATGACAGCCATAATTCATTCTCTCTCAATGGTTTAACTCATATTAGAAGAAAAAAATAACTGTATGGTTATGATAATTACCTGTGGTGGGGCCACGATCAGCCTCTTTGCTATTTCATCCGCAAGAGCTTTACTATATTCATCTTTTGTGAAAGTAAATCATAATGTAACATATTATACTTTGTTATCATATAATATATTGTAATTTAAGATTATATGACTCTAGAGGAACTTAAATCTTATGATTTAAAGAAAACTGCCTTTATAGCAAGCTGAAAATTACCAGATAGCTAAAAATATGATGTCATTTCATGCAACTTCTTCATTTATTCTTATACACATCGTGACTAAATTGTTGTTTTCTTTAAAACGTACAGCTGAAAAAGGATATGTTTTGGGTGACTTCGAACAACATGATATCGATGATAAAAGCTCTGAAGGGAAAAGAAGCTTGTGAAAGAAAATGGACTTCGTGTAATCTGACTGTACATGAAATGGGAAAGTTGTTTCAAAATACTTTGCAGTCTATTAACAAATTTGCTAATTCGACATTAACAGATCGAGCAAGATAAAAACATTGATATTGCTAAGACATCATAAGGACCATTAAGTTCACTTCTTTTATCTATCTTACCACTACAAGATCTATAACTTAGTGTTTGCTATGTACGGGAATGTTTCAGACAGTAATAACAACAATCATGAAAAAAATAATAGTAATAGTAATAGAAACGTCAAAATTAGAGGTATACTATTGCGGAGAACTTCATATTTCTTTGCCGTGACAAGTAACATATTTGTTGAAGTTCTACTTACCTTTAGTATCTTCATTCTCATGTCCTTTCTTGTGAATTGACCACATTTTCCCGCCAGCCTTTGCAACTTCGATGCTAATTTCACAAGAGTTTGTTGTTTCTACACCGTCTGTTATTGCCTCGTTTTCATCAAATCTGTAGCATATAACAATAACCATATCAATGATGATAATAATAATAACAGTATAAATGATAAAAATAATGATTTCAGTGCGAGTCCAAAATAATTTACACCATGAAAATTGCTAATTTTAAAAAAATCATCTATGAACAGTAAATTATTATACATCTTATGAAAGAGTGTTTTATCCCAAATAATTTGGTATCATTTGTATGTGGTATGTGTTTACGCTTGGATGAACAGGAGAGATTGTTAAATAGAGTGCCAAAAACACTCTTTCAAAACATGTATGATGACCTTTCGTTCATAGCTGACTTTTCAAATAAATGACAATTTTCTGAGGTTGTTGGTACTAACACGGTATTATTCTGATATTTTTCAAGTAGGTGTCATATTTTCCTGATACTTCTTATAATCATTTGCACATTTATATTTTTAATTAAGATAATGTATTTTTTCTCTATTCAGCAACAATTATACCTATTAGACATTATTTTACCACTGTTTATTTCCATGCACCTTGCATTTTAATTGTTATTTTCATCTTATTTATACATGTGGGTAATAATCAGCTTATTGTTCTGAAACATGTCTACTAAACTACTAAATTATATTTCAGTCGCTTTCTATTTTAGAACATCGAGGAAGGATATTAGAACACTACATCACGGTGAAATTGCCGATTTGCTCAATTGAAATTTCTTCATATTATTTACATTGCATATACACACATTTTAAAAATGTATAACTTTTTCAGTTTATCGGATTTTGTTCAAACTTTCACAAATCGTTTGTCCGATATTTCTTCTATCCTTCAAAGCATCTTGCTCTAAAGATATGATAGCCTTTACAAAAAAAGATACTTGCAAATAGCTTTGGGACAAGTTATTACTTTTGTTTATAAGTTTTTCCGTATTGTCTGCAAACCACAGAAATAATTATGACGTCCATAAAATATAAACTGATATCCTCCAAAATACAAACATGAAAATGAAATGTAAGTTATGTAACATTTGAATAAAAGATTACAAATTGAATATATATATAGACATCACAGCACGATCAGAAAGGTATACAAATCATAGCTATCACATTATTGTAGACATAATTTGCACATTCACAAAATTGATCAAAAACGACCGAAGTGCACAATACATGTACATTTTCACTGATTTGAAATGATTCTATTTCCAACAAAAGAGAAAATAAGAGATATAAGTGATTTGAAACAAGGAAAAGAAATCACAATGGGAATTATTTCATTATCGATAAGACATAATAAACCAGATCAAAAACCTCTTGCTACCTCATCCTTTATTATTTTGGACGAAGATTTCATGCATCCAAACAGAAAATGTTAAGTCAACATGACTGGTAATAAAGTTGTCTTTATTTTTTTTTCTCAAGTGAATGTGAGAAATACATAATACAGAGACAAATAAACAAGAAACGATTAAGAGATATAGAGAGAGAATGAGTTACAGAGATAGAGAGAGAATGAGTTAAAGAATATTTTACTTACCCTTGTCCTGTAAGAGTTTTCTTTAGACTTGTCTTTCCAACACGTTCTTGTCCAACAAGCATCAGGCGAGTTCGGAATACTTTCTTCGTGCCAGCTTGAGCTGCTTCGGCATACGCTCGGCGTGCTCTCGGCCCCCTAGCCAGGATCTCAGGCGGTGCCGAAAGACCACCGAAGGAAATATCATCCCGATTGCTCCCCGAGTCTTGTTTTAGAGATGTGAGTGGGTCGTCGTTTCCCTCATTATTATCACTATCATCTTTAATAATTAAGATCAAGAAAAACACAACAAATACGTCAGAATAAAGACAAGAATTTTGCCTGCCACAGAAAGCGAAACCGGTTCTAAAGTATAAAAACGCGAGGAGAGCAAGAACAACCGACACGGTAAACATTAAAAAGGACGCGTTTTTTTTTTTGCTGTTTCAATTTGCCGCAAAAACCGACTCAACATCATGAGCGACTCCAAACTGACCGATTTGTGGCTCTTCGAGATAATGTGATTTTTGTTGTTTTGTCCGGACTGTTCTCGGTCTGGGGTCGGTCTTGTTGGTGTGACTGAGGTATTTTATTTAGATACACCACTACAAATTCCAAGCAAAGCCCACCCCCCTCACCCCTCTCCCAGAAATAGACATGGGGATGACCTGGGCGTATTCTCGTAAAGAGTTACGACTGATCCAGATTGATCGTAAGTCCTCTTAACAAATTAATCGCACACTTTTATTACGTACATGCAATCCGTTCTCATTAGTACAGAGTTACGATAGATATCAAATTGCGATGAATTTGAATCGTGAAAGGCCCCTGGTATTTTGAAGAAGAAAACAAATGTTGGTATTCAAAAGCAGCTGCTGAATAAGAAATAGACCTCATGAATAGAAGAAGAAGAAAAAAAAAAAAAACTCACAAAGCTATTACATGTATTTAGTAATACTCGAGGAACAGGCTGAAATATCCTCAAACTTTTTGCTGTTCTTACAAATGATGTTGCTACAGGATGCGGAAAACAATTCAACGTGCCTTGCCAATAAAATGTGAAAAGAAAGAAACACCGAGTGAAACATTCTTTGTCAGACACAAAAAAGTTTCTATTTAATTACATCTTACACAATTTCACATCCTTAGAAAACAAAGAACGAGTGCAACATTTTACTGCAATTTAATAAAGTGTCTTTTTCTAATATTTATACTATATCATTATACTCGGGTAACCAGTAGAATTTTAAGGCAACATTTTTCTTTTGATGTGGTAGGTTTAATTTTTATGAACCTATTTGGAGATTTCGCAGTACGTGCAGCGATACATTCATCGTTGACTCTCCAATCAAAGGGTTGAGGGATCAAATTCAAGCCTGGTATACTACGTCCTTTGGCAAGACATTACTCCACATTGGCCACCCTCAACCCAACCCATGGAGGTGTAGTAGTATAGCGGTACATTTACTTCAATAAAGGACTGGGGTTCGAATCCCAGCCTTGGAAAAACGTCCGTTTGCAAGATGTTAATCCACATTTGCCAATCTCCGGACAGGTGTAAATGGGTACCTGGCAATTGCTGAGGTCATTATATAATTGCAGGCCCTTCACGAGGAACAGCATTGGAGCTGATGCGGCTTGCCTGGGTAAGTGGGGGGGGGGGGGGGCTAAAGTATTTACGATCAGGTAGAGCAAAGCGAGCGAAGCAAGTGGAGCGTAAATTGGCGTGGGGTCCAGTAGCAAAGCCCCGGCGGGAGTCAAAGGGCTAGCCCTAAGAAGCTCAAGAGTTTTAGGCATTTAAAAACGGTCGGGTGAGCATCCAGGGGCCCGCCTTAGGGCACTCAGCGGGGCCTAGGGGGCAGAGCCCCCGGAAGCACAGGGAAAAGCCATGCCATAATTCAGCACCATTTCCAAATCTCTGGTATCGAATTTTAGAAATAAACCACGTTCGAATTTTATTAACGGATGAGAGGGCTGAAGATGATTGAAGTGACTACCCCCTCACAGGTTTTTGGAAGTTTGTTGTATTAAAAAATTACTCTCCTTAGCAAAACTATAGTATAAAAACAAGCAATACACTTTTCACACTTCTCTTTTCTACAATATTTACCGGAACCTGTGTGCACTTTCACATTTTCCGGGGACGGGACGACCCCCCCCCCAAAAAAAAAAATAAAAATAAATAAAAAAAATGAGGGGGCTCGTCCCCCGGGATCGCCGCCCCTGATTATCATCATCGTTATTATTACATTGTAGTATGATGATGATTGTTATTCTTAGGATTATTATTGTATACAATTTGTTAGTTATTTACCATAATCCAATGTCGTAGAGAGCTGCCGTACAACTGATGGCAATTTTGAAGGTTTTTCATCGTCGTTCTCCACCCTTTTTCCTTGCCCAGCTTTAAAAGAACTCTTTCCACTTTTCTTTGACAGGTTTCCATAAACATCGAGGCCGATCTGAGCTACGTTTTCTTTCCACAGTGCATGGTCTTTCTTTTTGAATGACGCTTCGCTTTCCTTCGTCGGGATAATAAAGTCCCTGCTACCGTCAACCTTTGCTTTCTTCTTGGTGCTACTCTTGTTTACTACAGGCTTTGGTTTTACTTTGGTTGCCGCAGTCTTACCCGATGTCTCCGACATCGGCTTACTCCAACTAACATCCACATTGTCCAAATTGTCATCAAGGAAAGCTGATTTAGCGTACTTTCCTCTTAGTCTGGTGGGACCCATGTCGGGCTCGTCCTCACCTTTAGGTTGAACTGGAACCTTGGTGCTGGTCTTTTTCCGAACAGCTGGTGCACTGGATACTTTCGCTGCTGCCTTCGTTCCCAGTGCCTTCGGCACGTCCAGCGTTTTACCGGGACCAGCTGATTTAGCCGACTTTCCTCGGAGTCTAGTGGGACCTATGTCTGATTCATCCTCACCTTCAGGTTGAGTGCTAGATTTTTCCCGAACAGCCGGTGAACTCGATTCGGGATATGATTTCAGTGTTTTCATCTCTCTACTTCTCCTTTTGCTTTCATCCCTTATCAAATTGGTTACCGGCAAAGACCCTTCACTCTTCCCAGGAATGTGCTCTCTTCGCGGCCCTCTTGGACTCTCCGATCTCTCGCGTCTTTGAAACCCTTCTGGAGTGGCATTCAAATGTGGTTTGGTCGGAATAGCGGGAACGTCACTAGCGGAACCTTGGAGTTCAGGATTATCACTTTTCTCCGGCATCTTTGCAGCGCCCTTGACGTGCGACGACGGGGATATCCTCTGACCGGATACAGACTGTGAAACATCGCTACTCAGAGACAAACCTGCCTTCTCCATGTTTTCGACTTCTGTCATTCGTAACAGAGTTTTCCACGCCGGTGTTTCCACTTGTTCAGGAGCACTGAGGCTTGGTGCGTTGATAGGCGTGGCTTCTGGCCCGTTTGGTCGGGGTGCCTTTTTTACCCTCATCGAGACAAGAATAATTCGTAAAGATCACCAGATTAGAATGTATTGAAAACTGATGCGTTAATACCCTCTTCAATTTTCTTTAAATTGTCCTTACATTCGTGTTCTCCTATTTACAACAAAACTATGGATCAAGACGTTGGTGGCTTGGTTTCGTAACTCCCTGCTGGTATGTCACACACTACTAGTATAAGGTCTATTCACTTATTAGTGACAAGGATATATATCACACAGATAGAACATGGCACATCTTCCAAGACTGTGGGCATTCCTTTGAAGAAGGACGTTAGCTAGCCAGCTCAGGACGACGTACTTCCTTTTCTACATATCAAACCAGAAGTGACAAACTGCAAATGACTAGTCTCCAATTCTCCTATCCCTTATGTTCTCCTTTGATTGTAATACAATCATTTGTTATCAATGAAAATGGAAATACACTGGTCGTTTGTGATCAATCAAAAATAAAATCTGGTAACGTCGTTATCAAATAAATCTGCAAATGTGCTGTATCTTTCTTTTCCTCTAAATGTCCAGTCCTATGGCCAAAAAAAATAACATTATTTGAGTCTTAACGTTTCAGACTTTGTTGTTTGTCGAAAATCAGTCCAACGGGACAGTCAAATCATTCAAAACATGACGACAAGTTGCTTTAGAATCCCGATCCGTACAGTAAGGAGTGGTTCATACTATTTATTTAATTTAAGTCTTTTGTTGACTATCCAAGTTAAATCCTGAAGCAAATGATTCTATAGAAGTCGCACAGTGAAGTTTCATCAGCAAACATGAAAAGTTGTCGGACGAGCTGAATTAAAATCCTCCTAGTCGCTTTATCAACATGATCTTTAGAATAGCATGGGGATAGTCCTCCTTCACTTTTGTACACATAGACGTGTTACACTGTAGACGGCAATCGTTGTAAAAATGACAGCCCTAGATGACTAGCGTGTGCACTTCCTGTCCAAACTATAACGACCATACGTCAATATATTTTCGAGAAGACTCTTCTCGCGCTCTGAGCTTGCGGGAAGAAACACAACCTTTCAGCAAAACGTCTGATAAAAGACCTGCTATGGAGACTTATCCATCGAAAGTTTTTACTGAGCTGGATAAGTTTCTTCCCTCAATGAGCTTGAAATAGTATGCAAACGAAAAGCAACTGCAGAGTACAGTTTGAGCTGCTCGGTAAACTCTCGTTGTAATCTTCGAGCTGGAAATAAACGCGATAATGAGTATATCCGGAGTGTGATGGCCTAAACAGCCTGGATGATCTGCAGCCAAATGCTGCTGCCTTGTATTACAAAGTCTACTTCCGGCCGCAAACAATTTCCCTTCGGTAACTTTTTCTTAACACAATTACTGGTAGTCTCTAGCCGTGTTTCTTTCACTTGTAAAAGGTTCAAACCTACCTCCCCGGACTATGTGAATGAAAATGCATCGACTGAGTCTGGTGAATAAAGACTGACCGTCCTAATCGCTTGACTCATGGGGGCATGGGGACTCCCAAAATCTTGAAAAAGGGGTTATATGTGTTTGAGAAGTGTTTCTAGCTCAGTCATTTATCTCATTAATGGTATGGTTGTTTTACCTAAAAGCTAAGAAAGCATGCAAGCAACAAGAGAACCGACCACTCTAAGTCCTCTCCCATGGACTTGGTAATAAGGATTAATGCTGGGGGAAGTTTTACATACCACTGTCTCTTTTTAGCTCACTAATGATTAACAGATGATGTCACAAGATAAATGAGATCTGTAGCATTTGTTTAGGGTGGAGCTTAGCAAGTCTGAGAAAATATATTTAGATGTTTGAATCACAAAATATGGGTTGTATGCAGTCCTACACATCAACAGGAATCGACCTATATATGGATGTCACCCGACTTTTAAAAGAGCAGGAACTTTGTCAGTCTACATGTGGAATTTAGAAGAGTTCAATTGCGACAAACAAAACAAATATTTAGAAATACATGCACATGTAGTGTATCTTTAGGCAAGACTAGTAAGGAAGTATTGATAATGGTTTGTTTCCGTCAAACTGTTGTTTTACAGGGAATGAAGATGACATGTTACCGGTATATGCATTATACTGAGCTTATTTGAATTTAAGCATGTTATGCCGTTGACTGATTATGGGTAAAACATTTATTTGAGTTTGAGTGTCTTAGAGAGATTCCAGAGTTTTAAGCAGAAAACTCCCATTTGTGTCTTGAGATTAGCTTAACCAGTTGTAAGAGAGAGAGAGAGAAAGAGAGAGAGTAAGAGATGCAGAGAGAGAGAGAGAGAGAAAGAGATGAAGAGATATATATATATAGAGAGAGAGAGAGAGAGAAAGGGAGGGGGCCGGGTAGTTCCTTGAAAATCTCGTAATATATGTGGATTTAGAACTAGGACCCCGTAAAACTGGTTCCCGGTATGAGCCCTATACCATATGAATACTACAAAGCCTATTAATTGATACTATAAAAGACGTTTGTACCGGGATGGGATTCGAACCCTAAACCTTTCGATTGAGAGTCGGTTGGAATCATGTTCACTATGCCGGTTCACCCACAACAAAAAGTGAGTCATTTGACACATTTAAGCATAATTTTCGTGAGTCAGGTGTAAATTGACTCATTAGTAACAACCAATGAGTCTCTATTGACTCATTTATATTTCACCAGTGTGTCAATCATGAGCTGACGCATTTGCAAAATGCTTCGACTGACTCACATGGTCGTAAAAAATGAGTCAAGATCGACATAAGAGCATTTTAGAAGAAAAAAGTGAGTCAACTTGAAAGTGAGGCTGTATGCATGCGCGGGCATGCTTTCGTTACGTCATCCAAAATGCGCATTCTCGAGCCATATTTGAATTCCCGATCGACGACGCGACGTCGCACAGTGGGCCAGGGAGGAACCAAAGTGCGCCAAAAGTAAGTTTGGGTGATTTTTTTTTTCCAATTTTTTTCTTGCCCAGTTGAAAGGTAATACATAGAGGAATACCTCAGTGAAATATTTAATTCCGGTATGCACAATAATGGTATAAACTTACTACTTCAAACAGCAAAATCCTACGTATTCACAGTGTTAGTACAAAAGTGACTTATTTTATAAATCTTTCAATTCAACATGAAGTTTTTAAGTTATTGATATGAAATTGCTCTCACATATTCCTGATTATTCATTTTGTTGAATGAATGGGTTAAAATTTATATAAATACAATCTTCATGATATATTATAGGGTAATTCACTGAAAAATGGACTAATTATCCATGTTTTTTATAAATCCAGAAGAAATGTTTAGATCTCCGCGGTGTACCGCTAAATTTTAATACCACCATTTCCTCTGATGTCTAAGCTTTAGGTTGATACCAAATTTGGTTGCCCGATCTTGCCCGTTGTTATGTTAGAGTCGATTTCCCTTGCCACATTGCCCCGAAAAATGTGGGTTTTGGGGGTCCGCGGCTGAATCATGAAGGATTCGTGGTCATAAATGACGGCGCGAGGGGGCGCGTGACACTTGTTCTGACATCGCGGACCAAAATAAACACATTTTTCGGGGCAATGTTGCAAGGAAAACGGATCTAACATATTAACGGGCAAAATCGGGCAGCCAAATCTGGTATCAACTTAAAGCTTAGACATCAGAAAAAATGTTGGTAATAAAATGTAAGCGAAAATCCCCGGAAATCCAAACATTTCCTCTGGATTTATAAAAAATAAATCCCCAAACATGAGTTTTGGCGCACTTTGGTTCCTTCCTGGCCCACTGTGCGTCGCCATCTTATATCTTGGATTCAGAAGAGTTTTGACTGCAGCTAGTGAAAAATTGGTACGCATAATTATTCATATGGTTTTAAACGATGCTTTTTATGACTGGATTCGTGGGCTTATTATACAAATGATGCATGCGTTCATTTTACGATATCCGCACTCGAGTTGATGAGGCTGTGTGTAACTTAACTATCACTATGAACATGACTGACAATGAGAGCGGACAAAATATACAGTTCCTCAGGTAGACAAAGGAACATCCCTTCACTGCTATTATGTAAAAATGTGTAGAACAGGTGTCACATGCATATTCACCTTTTTACATAATAGCTGTGAAGGGATGTTCCTTTGTCTACCTGAGGAACTGTATATTTTGTCCGCTCTCATTGTCAGTCATGTTCATAGTGTATAGATTCTACTGTATCGCACGAAGCCGTGTCGAATGAAAACATGCATGATCTTGCATCATTGTTTTATACAACGAAACTCCTAGATCCTTGTTATTTGATGTAAAACGAATTAATTCAAGATTGTTTCGTGACAGTATGGGTGACAAATAAATCTCAAGTTAAGGCTTAATTTAGTGCGTACAAAGTAGATTTTTCAGATTCGGGTAGCGGGACCACCGATTACATCGCTAAAATGTGATATTTTAGGATATATTTTCCATTGCAAATGTGGACAGTGACTCTGGCATGGTATGGTATGTGTGTGATAGGCCTAGGGAGTAGGGGGGTCTATGTCATGATGCACCCACAACAAAAAGTGAGTCACCCTTACTCAAATTGATGAGTCACTGGTTTGTCCGTACAGCGAAACACTTGAAGGATCATGTGAGTCACTATGACTCGATACAAATGAGTCTCTTAGATAAATAAGACTCATTTGTATCGAGTCATAGTGACTCACATGATCCTTCAAGTGTTTCGCTGTACGGACAAACCAGTGACTCATCAATTTGAGTAAGGGTGACTCACTTTTCGTTGTGGGTGTTGTTGTAAAAGAGACAGATTGATTATTGAAGGTAAAATGAATGTGGTAGGATAATACATACACGTATCTCAAACTAATTAAAAAGAAAAACGAAAAAAAAAGGAAAAAAAAAACTGGAACTTGGTTTGAAGGAAAATGATTATCGTTCATTATGTGCGAAGAAAAGTGTTTTTTGTGAGTCTTATCTTTCAGAGTGAGTTTCGTAAGAAATGCAAAGATACAAGAAAGAAAGTGACACACTAACCTAAACATGTCTTATTTTTTTTTAAAGGTTTTAGTCAAATTCTCATCGTTGTGAAAGTATTTATATATCCATATATATATACATCAAATAAAGGTGTTGTGGTATAATGGAAAAGTTTCCGAACGATGAACCACTAGGTACTGCATCTCTGACGCAACATTTACCTCCGTTGGCGAGACACATTCGACCCAAGTCTATAGTGAACGGGTACTACCTGGTACGATTTATTCCTAGAATGCACTGAGCGCTACGGTTGCCGAAGCTAAATCTGGGGTAATAAAATCCGAAGTAATTTAGAAATGCATATACATGATACATGTAAATATGTTATATTATGAAGATTATGCGCTTTACAAGAAATGTGTTATAATTAACAAATAACAAATAACAATGACGATGATGATGATGAATATTAAGATAATGATGGAAATGAAGATGTTGAAAATAGAAATGATGATGATGATGGTGATGGTGATGGTGGTGATGGTGATGATGATGATGATGATGCTGATGATGATGGTGATGATGATGATGGTGATGATGATAATAATGATAATGAATAATAGTAATAATAATAAAGTGGCAAATATAGATGAAATCTTGCCAAAGGACTTTAGTGCCACAGCGGGACCTAAACCCTGAAACACGGGATCCACAGTACAGCAAAGTATCCACTACAGTATTCTGTTTGACGATGATTGTTTTACCTGACTGCTAAGAAAACATTTTTATGAGTGTAAGTAAACAACTAGGGACCTGGTACTAAAAAGTGTACGAGCGCATTGACTCGGTTTCGAACTCGGGACTTGCCGGTTACTATCAAATAAACCTGAACTGTTTTAGAAATTTAAGACAAAGATAAACTTACCTGCGTATTTTATATCATCGGCGAATCCTAGATTGGACGAAGCTAAATAAGGGCTTTCTGCAAATATTGACTCTGACATGCCTCCATCGAAAGTGGTTGTAGCTTTATTTGCTGACGAAGGTACCTCCACATTCCTGTAACAATGTGGGCTCACTTGTTCAGGCAACCCTATGAAAAGGTATTTTTATAATAAAAATTAATAATAATAACAATACTAACAATAATAATAATATCAATAATAATAATGACAGTTTAAAATACAAATCCGATAAAGGATTTTTTTTGGTGAAAAACATTTTTGGGAGATCCGTACAGAAACTGTCAAGCTCCGCGATTTCTTTTACGATCTCCTCTCCATTTGTCTTTGTGCGTTTAGTCAATTTACTTTTTTTCTTCTTCTTCTTCTTTTT